GACCATCCATCGAGCGCGCTAATAAAGTGACTAGCATCTATCAGTTAAACGAACAAATCCATAGGCCACAGAGCAAACGGTCAATAGTCCAGATGACTTCACTCGGCTCGCAAAATCACACAAACGAAATTGAGAAGAAAAAGGCATGCGTGAACAAACATGTAGTTCTACAGTTGTTAGATTTGGTATGTAGACCGGATAGACGTATTGCTACGATAAGGTAGCGAATCTTTACTATACCCATACAGTTCAGAACGGACGATGCAGCCAACAAGTGCTTCCACTAAGGTCCAATTGAATAAAGACGAAAAGTGGAAGCACATGCATGGTAATCAACCAGCATTCTTCAGCAACAAAACAACTCTCAGGACCAGGCTGAGGTATGGATGAAAAAGAGGTTTACTTGCTGATTAATTAACCTTGAACAACTCATTTTCTGTGAATGATATGATATGATGTCTATTCCTACCCTGGGTTTCTCACTCACGTCCGGATGGCGTTTCACGAAAATCCTCAAAGTCATTCACGATAAGGTGAACTGATTTCACCCGGTCTCCGTGTGTATCAGGCCCTAGCGATAGTGTGGTGGCCTTACATTCGTCAAATACTACTCGTAATGAAGTCAGCATAACCAACTGATACAGTATGCATGTGACCACGTTGAAGCCGTGCACGGAAATCCTGTCAGATGTTTCTTTGGTCCAGTGACTGAATTTTCCAAGTTCGCTACCACATCCCTCCGAGATTTCATCGTGGCCCCATGGAACTTCAGGTAATAACAATCAATTAGGATCACGGGGTTGATGCATTTACGGCCAAACAACCACCATGACATCCGAGATTTGAGAGGAAAAAACATCAAACACGGCTTCACCAGTAAGTCCATCGGGAGCAAGTTACTCAAGGGAACATAACCATTCATATGCTTCAATCGATTGCCTATCCACTGCTTCATCGCTGAAAAGGGGGCGAATATTGTTCCAAGCTCAAATGCAATCTCCGTCCGTCGGTTTTGGAAGCGTTATGAACATGGAGAGTATTTTTAACATATTCACACTGACTTCAGTTTTTTTTCGGTGAAGGATACATGAGATTGAGACAAAAGAAACGCTAGGCCATCTGCCGCACTGGTAAAGCCCGTCTTTCCAAGTGGAGTAAATAAGGACAGAAAAACAGAATGAAGTGGGAGTTGAGTACAGAATGGGGATTCGGGTAAGGAACTTGTAGAGTGCATCGTTGAAACCATCACGACGATATAGGTCGAACAAGATGTTCATTTTTGGGAGCGTTTAACAGTATACAGTAACTTATATCTAGGGTCAGTATAGTACATTGCTTAGCTGTTCGCAGTGGAGTGACATTCAGGGCACCGCATACGGAAGTCCTGAGGGTCTTCGTAGACAGAAAACTGTGGCAATGCCAACGACTTAGGGCACTCGTAGGCTTTTTAATTGCATCTAACAGTTCGTTACCCAGTTTAAAGCTATTTTTTGCAAAAAGTTATGTCACAATTGCCGATCGCTGTGATGAAACACCCAAAAAGATGTACTGAGTGAAAAGTGCATCATCCGTTTCCAGGATATAACCTTTTGAGTAACGAAAAATGGTGAACCTCGTGACTGTAGACCGTGGCAGATGATTCTACTAGCTCTCAATCAAGCAGGAGTGGAGTTATCTCATGGCTAAGACTTTCAGCAACTGTAAGAGGAACGTTGAACGGAACGCAAGATTTCACCAATAATCATCCAGTCTTAATAATATGACACAGCAAAACCAGCGCGTAGCAAAAAAATGTTTCTGTGTGAATTTCAACGCAGGAAGCCAGAATATACTGTCATTACTTTATGTTCTAGCACTTCATGAGCCATAGCACATAGTACGCGGAATGATATATGCATGACCTGAACCCACTCGGGCCTAAGCTTCAAAAATGGACATCAACAGACAATCATCACCACATCCGTAAATCGCGGCTATTTTCACAGATCGTTTGATTTCTATGAATGTAGGGGCTGACTGTGTAAACGAATCTCATCCAAGAGGAACTATCTTGGTAAGAGAAAGCATTCAGTCTCTCTTGAGAATAGCGTCTTTTCAGGAGAATCAGACAGTAGACCATCGTTTGCGTGTACCTCTCCAGAAGTCGGGGAGCGAATTAAGAAACCCACCTTACTTTGATAGCCATGATCAAATTTGGGATGCACTATACATTTCTTCCTCGTGGGGAACATCTAACAGAAAATTACTGCTCAGCAATTTCTCGGTGAAATTTGCGTGAATGACAGTATCCGTCAATATGAATGCGTGGAGCTCTAGCAACAATCCTCTGACGAAAACGCTCCCTCTGCTCACTCGCTAAAGCCGTTTGTTGGAAGGACAGTCTAGTGTCTCAGACTACGTTTTAAGGAAGTCTAGTCGTTCAAGTGTAAGTTTAAAATACCACCCCATTCACCCATACACCTTTATATGACATCCCATTATCTGTATTTTTTTAACACAACAAGTCGCACGCATGTAACAGAAATTACCAAAGGCAACCCACTTAAAAGTTCATTACACGTGACGTGTTACCAAAATCACGACAGAAACCGCCACTTGCAACCAACGTCCAACTGAGAGATCGCGAACAATAACTTGTCAAAACTGGAATGAGGCCACCTGAACAAGAGTTGAGGATCCCAAAAAACCAAGGCTACCAAATTAGTGGAACATAAAGTGAACGAAACGACCTCTGTATTGGCTTCATGACATACTCATGTTTGCGGAACTTGTGAATGAACCACCGCCGATATTCGCGAGAACAGACTAGTCTCTGTGTTAGCACAAACTTAGCCAAGTTCTTTTGCCATACTCCTCTTCTACACCATTGGTTGTCAGATGGTAAGATGTCAAACTTTCCGTAAATACCAAACTTAAGGCTTGAAGATATCACATTCCATTAGAAATTTTAACTGCTCATCATCGGTAAGGATGGATCTGTTGATAGCGCCTTGATCATCCCTGAGGGGTAGAATGAAAAGCACTGGACCAATGATTTCGTCATGCTGAATTACGTCACCTCTCAGCCACTGGATGGGAATGATGAGCACAATATAGTTAAACGTAGTATGTCAGTTAAATAGTCCGAGACAACAAGGGGTCCGTTGTCAACAATGAATGTACCCATGTGGTTGGAGAAAATTACTTCATGTAAACCTCATGTAAAGGCCACCTAGGAATACAAAGATCATACACCTGGAACACTAGTAGGGATAAGAACCAGGTAACAGAGCTGTAATATAAATCATTATCAAGGAAGAACGGCTAAAGTTAGAGCTCACCAAAGCCTCTCAACAAAGAACCTGAAAACAACAAGATCACGTCAACTCACAACAGTGGTTCTGGGGATCTGGGTTGCGTAAAAGGCTATACTTCTCATTTTACTAAATGGTTCGGACGCTTCTTACACAGCGATCGAGTCGTAATAGTGGATTTTCGTTATTGAAACCCATTCGCCTTAGGAGTGAGCTAACGTAGTGAGAAGAGGTGTCTTGGAAACAACCACACACCCAAGACAATTCACACAGAGAAGAAAGCCCGACTGACGTCTCCAGTCAACCGTGTATCTGGCAGAAGTTGGCCGGTCGAACAACGTGAACGATAATAGCTTGCGCTCTAAGTTGCTACGCGAGGCCAAAAGGTGTGCTTGAACGCACACCGCTGCACATCCAGGTGACATTTGGTCATTCAAGTGGAAAACCCACCTGGCGGAAGTTCACTTCGTAGTCTGAAGAAGAGGATGCGAAATTCGAGCAGAACCGCTCTTCGTTATCTTCTTCCGCTAGACGGTCAGTTATTTACAAAAAAATAAACCCGAAGTTTGTAGTAGTGTTTTTCAAACTTTTCGACTCATTACGATCCTCTAGCTACCCAGCCATAAAGCCATCGTCCGTTCGAAGAGCGAAAGCTCGAAAGTTAAAAGAAAACATCCACAATTGAGATCACTCAGTAAGCAGCATTACCCGGAAAGCAGCAATCCAGCCGTGACCTCTCTTCAAAGAGTATACCTCTGAAAAGTAGCCCAATACATATCTTTCCATACAGTGTACCATGTCGGAGGATCGCAGCACACACACTAACACTAGCTAGTGTGATAAGTAGGTCTGGTTGGTGCCAGGTACCCCAAGTTTGGAAAAGTGAATTATCTTACGAATACGCTGAGGAAGTGCTCTGGTTAGTGTAGTAGAAAAACAATCAACAAAAGCTTGAATTTTTTCACAATTAAGGATAACGCCCACAAAGTCACCTCTGCAACGAAAAGTCCCGCCATACTATTGGAATATTGTTAATGGCTTAGTGTTCTTTTTACTATCAAGGTGAGGCTAACGCAGTGCACATATCCAAATCAGACAAGACACTGTTTGGCCACAAAAAACCTATTGTTTTCCACTCTGGCCACAGAGGCTTCATAGTCAGACTTCCAGCACTGTTAACGAAATGGCTCAGTGGTTAGAGCACGAATTTACTGACCTGAAGATCCGTGGTTCGAACCCGACCTCTGCCTCCCGACTTCCACTGTCTAGGCTCGGGCAACCTGGCAGTATCCCAGCCCTCGTGCCTCTTTCGTGTGGCATGGCAGCTAGGCACCAAAAGGGTGCTACAGCTGAGCGATTTTTTTACTGGCTGCGTTTAAGAGGTGTGATTATTTACATCCTGAGGAACAGGCTAATCACTGCATTGGACCAGTGATTATCATACAAGGACCAAGTTTGCAGGTATTCAAACACACACTAGTTCACTTGCATTTGAATTATCAGGCTAACGTGGCGTAAACAACGGATCCGATTTGAATGTCCAGGTGTGTCCATCTTCAGTGAGAAGACTGATTACTGCTATCGGAGAACTGTTTATCGGTGACTGACAGCTACGATATGACGTATAATCATAGGGGTTATGGCATTAGATCCAACAGTCTACCAAAGTTTAACCAGGTAACTCGATACCATATACACAAAACTTACGCTTCACCGTGAGTCGAAACGTCCGAGAAATGCTGTCTGACCGCGCCATACTACCAAACGAGGTGGCTGGCACGTGTCGATCACTTGTAGAGACAATGCACCTGTATTCTCCATTGTGTCGTAGGTTTAAATCATTTAGTCGTAGCTTGGGTTCGTTAAATTGGCTCAGATCCAGCAGTCGAGTAGAAACAGAGGGAGGGATGGCATCGAAAATGGAGACCGCGGAGCTGGACGATGCGGACGAAGATGAAGATGATAATGATGATGGGGCAGAAGCTCTGATGAGCAAGCGCCGTTGGTTCTTCTCAGATGATGCACTTGATCCACTCAGCGGGCGTGAGTAGGTTACGTCCCATCGATATTGTACTGGGCCAGGGGCCACATTTGTTGTCACCGTATCACAATCAAGCACAACACTATCACCCCATTCTCGAGACGGATTAAGATCCCGGTCTGAATAGCTTGTCAAAAAGCATGGTCCTGAAAATGTCGCCAAAAAGAGAAATTTTAGCAAGAATCCTCCACTGAGATTTTAACATTGTAATACAAGTCTAGAAATCAGTCTGTAATAACCTTAGTTGAAGTAAGGGTAACGATTTCTCACATAATGAGAGACTGTGACTTACGTTAAACGTATAAAAGCAAATGGGTATTGTTTTCATATCCCTCTTGTTCAAAACTGTGGGGCGATGAGGGCCACTAATCCTCCTTATGTCAAGTTTGGTCACATGTTCACAAAAGCGACTACAGACGCATAGGGTCTTTCGCGAAGACATTATTCTTCCAGTGGAGGCGCTCGCTCCTCGAAAGAGGGAATCAGGTTGAGGACCTCTCAGAATACACAAAATGCACCATGCTTCACAGAGGCAGATGATAATTTATTTGGTAGAAATGCTAAGACTCGTTTCTTCCTACTGAATTTCAAGCGGAGAACTTGAGTATTCAGAAGCAACGTAGGAGTTAGCTAAGAACGTATTGGCGGAATTTACGACAAATATATCGTGCACACATGCGTGTCAGTGATCTAGTTCAGAATTACTGAATCAAATTGCTCTGAACATGAAGTCCAGTAGTCAGCTGTGTTTTGGCTCATTCGTGTGCTGTGTAGGCATGAAGAACGTCGAATACTTGAGGAAATGTAGGCATTCAGGGTGCGAACTGGCATGACTGTGAACAGGTTGACTTCATGAGGAAATTTTCGCAACGCACATGAACTGCACAGTGGGGATGATCATATGCACGGTGACCTCAAAGACCACATGGCCGTTTGAATCTTGCGTACGTGCGTTGTTCAAAGCCACCTTGTTAGACGGTTCCTACAAACAAATGTCCTCCCTATCCAGCTTTTGCCTCAGCACAAGTTCCCTGGTGCGAATTGACATGCTAACCTTTACAGAGACTTCAACAATCGCAGTGGTCAGTGATATACACCCGGTGAGGTTCCGACAGAATGCACAAACCACTTGACCGAAACCCAGTGAATCATTCCAACAGCATTACCTTAGCAGTTGCAAGATATTCCTACTTCTGCAAAGATTCTGTCGGTCATTTCAAACACTGCTGTAGTAATTCTGTCCAACAGAAACAACACTTCAAATGAACCATTTATCCTGCGATCCTCCAACAGCGTTTGCCATCAGGCACGATCCAGTGAAAGATCCCGTAGAGTAGAGGACACTCTCAGGAGACGAATAATCCCAAACAGGTGATGTTCGCTTTGCTGGAGAACATTGAACACCATGAAGAACAGTTCATAACAAATCTTGCTACTTCATTAAAAAATTCACCGCTCGCTCTAAACTCGGAACCGTTATTCCCACGTGTTGTCTATCGTTACGATGCGGTTACTCACTGATCTTCACAATCCGTTGGAGCGTCCAGATAGACCGCGGATTTTGTTCTTATCAAACCCCGGGACTTTGTAAGTCACTGTGTAAGCGGATGGCCATCTGTCCAATTAATACAGCACCATGTCACTAAAAACATGTCTGCATATGGTCTTACAAACACAATACGACTGGACAACCGACAGGACCAATTATAAAATAAGTAGATAAAAGGACATTAGGGTCCAACGATCATCAGTAAACGGTCGGAGCCAAGGGCTCAAACAGTGAGGAATTCGAAAATTAGCATGAGGAAGGCGTTCATTGTAATTTAAAAAGACTGTCCACAGCGGGTGACATAAGTCGAGATCCCTCATGCGGAACTTGGGTGGGTGTTTTAGAAGCCGTAGACTACCCGATAGGTTTGATGGGATTTGGGGACAAAAAGCAGAGATGGCGTTTTCAAATAGCAGGTTTAGATGGGCACCGACTCCGTTGATGTCCCAGGAGAATTACAGCAACCTATTGGTCTTGCATTTATAAACACTCCTTGGAAAAACAAGAGTGAGTCGGCTATACCGTGGGGAATCCCAACGAATTCACCTGTCAGACACAGTCAATAAGAATATGGGCAAGCTGAGAACGAAAGTAGGGGGACATCGATGAGCTGTCAACCCAAGAGATATGACATCAGGAGAGCAGCTTTTCGTGACAATGTGGCATCGAGAAAACCTGTTTTCCTCAGGGATCATTATCTTCACAGATCACTTACCAATAGAGACACAAATTGGAAAGTCGGTGAAGTCATGCATAAGAATGACATCTGCAGCAATGAGCTCGTGTGTGTCTGTGTGTATGTGTGAAGGAATAGGTAACATTGTTTTCATTGTGTGAAGTTCGGAAACCAGGGGCATAGATCAAGATGAAGGATGGCTGTTACGCCAGAGCAATTACATACTGGGTATTGGAAATTCACTGAAGAATTAGGTCAGCTGTCTGAACCAAAACAATTTCAACCGATACCTGAAAAGTTCATATAAGACAAGTTTTTCGACGAAGTAGAACCCGAACAACTAGGTAAACGTTTGAATGGTGGTTTAGGACCTCCCAGGTGAATGGCGCTGGGTTCCTGTGCATGGTCAAAGAATGGACCATCTTCAAAAGATATCCTCGCGTTTCCGAACAAACAAATATCACGAACTTTATGACAGCTTCTTGCCTTCCGTATTTATATGTAGTAGACAGTTCATGCTTGATGAAGGGTAATCATCCGAGGATATTCCATTCGTTATTCCAAGACCTAGGTTCGGTATTGGCCCTCCAGTCGAACCGAAGAAAAAGGCACAACAAGGGCAGCTGCACTACACACTCTCTTCAACATCACCCAACGTACTGAAATATTAAACGCTAGACAAACGTGTGTTTTCAATGGGTCCGGTAAAAATAGCGTGTTTACGAGTCTCTAGCTATGCAGAGAATGAAGCGCAAGAACGAACCCTCACGAAAACGAGTACCATGAAAAAGCCGCGCGATTTTCTTCCGCCACTGCGTCAGGCGTGAAATGTGCTCAGTCACCACAATAAATTGAATATCTAGAGGGTTCTCCCACTGTGATAATGCACCGCGAAATCAAGGGATGTGAATGTATTGAATGATGGTAGTGTAAACCAGGCAATTAGAAGTCTCGGAGCGATTGTAAACTCGCAGATGCCTGTCACCTGTCAAACTCCTGGTTTCCCGCGTCACTTGTATCAGAAAGCAGGTCAGCAGCGTTGACCGCAGTATGGAATCGGTAGGGTAGCATGCTGGACAGACGTAAACGACTATCAAACTATGGTTCACCACCTGAAAGAAGTAACTCTGGCTGAGGAGCAATAATTCGTTTGAGGCGCCGGGCGTTCCGCTCACATTACTCAAGCGCGAACATGTTTGCCTGTTCAAACGTAGTTTACCAGTGTATCCCGGTGGAGTAGTGGTAACATGTTCGCTCCACATGCCAGATGTGAGGAGTTCAAACCCCACGGCCATTGGATATGCGCTGATGATGAGCTCTAATGAGAGCGAAACTCGAGTCCAGTGCTCCTCCCCCTTTTGTGTGGATTCGCCAGGACGATTGCGTGAAGACGAGAGGACGATTGTTCAAACGCGATTCATGTGTGTGTGTGTGTTCTAATTAGTTTGATTGTTGCAGCGAATAGATGAGTAATCTTTTACAGCGTTGGATATAGAGTAACCCACCATTCCTGTCGAAAACAGTTTCTCATCGAAATCATTGTTCTCAAGTGTGACTACCTATGCTTGCTTATAATTCACAGACATTCAGGAAGGTTTACTTAGAATCAGGAAATAACTCGCTGGGCTGGAATCTCAATCGTTCTAGAGCCGTTCCTTACGCCAATTCTTTTTCCCAGTTTATCAATGGGTGATTATCCAACATTGTACTTCCAGAAGATAAACATGCATAATTAGAAACAACCGTAATCCTGCAAAAACTGCCAGTTATCCCGGTAGTCAGTCGTTGACGGCGATCAGAGTTACCATGTCAGTTTGTTGTGCACTTACAATCTAGCCGAAAGAGCTACTAGCACAAAGTTTAGGTTGGATACGCAGTGCTCAAAACAAGCCTACTTTCGTTGTTGTGTTTTTAACTGCCGTCATCGTGATGACAGATCAACTTTAGGAGACAGTGGTGATAAATTTGATCTACACAGATATAATCGTATCCATATGCAAACACACATACACGTGATGACGTGATTCTTGGAGGGAGGAGACAAGGACGACAGGCGCTCCCGTAACGTGCTGTCACTAGGTTACATCACGACGTGCTGAAACCGGAACAATACATCTATCTGTGTGCCGTTCTCGAAGTCAAGCTTCCTCCAGCGATGCCTCAGCACGCGCACAACCGGTCGTACAAACGTACACGTCGCATAGGGCAATACATTTATTCACAGTGGCCAGTAGCTCCTGGGCTCGAGCACAATCAGACGCTTGAAACAGACAGGCTAAATGTTAATGCAAACCATCTGGAAAACATCGAATGAAACTATCGAATCCGCCCAGCCTATCAAATACAGATTTCCCTCTAATCTGTTTCCAAGTATCCTAGGTGAGCTACACGACTGACAGTCGTTTTAATACGTCTGCACACAGAGAATGGACATGATGTCTGCAGATGTCATGACTACCGTTTTGCTGGCCTTGTGCACTCCCTAGAGTCGCGCGACTATTGTGTCAGCGTGGTTGGATTCTCCTTTGTAAGCGTATCCGTGTGTACGTATGTACGTCGATGTGGATGGGTGTTGCCACGTTGCGCGTTGGAACAACTCTGTTAAGCTGACCTGTCAAAGTGACCAGTCCTGATGCTTCCTGTTTCAGCTGTTGAGCTGACACTTTGTTTAATAATAAATGAGGCAACCAGTCATCCGCGATGCTCTTCATACGTGTCAGTTAGTCGTTGAATGACATTCCGGACAGTTTGTCGATGAGATCGCTAGATTCCGGATAAGCATAGTGGTCAGAGTGGAGACTGAATGCGGGTTGGGTACGGGTGGTGGTAATGAGAAGGTCGAAGGCAACAAGAGCCTATTCAGACCGCGCTGGTCAGTCAGTGATGACGGGAAGAGAAAGCGCATTGTAAATGAGCCGGATGTACGGATTTTCGGGTGGACTTATTGAACGAAAAAGAGAGAACATAGAGAGGTGTTGAAGCGACGCATTGGAGTGCGGATAGAAAAACAGTATATGGAAGTCACGCTACGCTCCATCATATTTTTCTTAAAAGATGGTACTTGACTGAATCACCTACCGTGGAAAGCCATTTGAAATGGACAGGAGTTATTATTGTGCCAACACTGTCTGGGGTTTGACCGCACTACCATTGCTTACAATGAATTCAAAATAATGATATGCAAACGCCCGATCGACATTGAATAAATGATGAATCCTGGTGCTGCTAAACACTCTTTTGCAAACTGAGCCGGTGATAACCGGGAAGTCATCTTAAATCCAGCTGAATCTCTTGTTCACGGCATTTTGCCAGTGACCGTTTTTCAGTTAGAGCGATACCGGAGTCTGCATGCAACACTACTCATAAGGTTGCTGAAAACTATTCGACTGCCCACGATCGGTTTCACCTTCTTGAGGTTCATCAGGTAGGCGCGGTTCCCTAGTTTTCCTCAAACTTCTGTTCTACCAAAGTCCATCCACCAGATATTGTGACTTGCAAGGTTATTGAAAGCCCTGGATATCCTACGCTTACACATGTGTACACCCGCCTGCTATAGGTAGTCCGGCAACCTCTAGTAATCGGATTACCTCACATCAAGCCGTAGCGATTGGACAGGTTGGCTTCAAACAGACGCGAACCCCGTAAGTAGTCTACAACCCCTTAGAATATTGGGGCATCGTGTGAGGTCCGATCCACATCCCTAGATCAAACGTGACTGCGATGTGAGCGGTTGCTGCAACTCTGACCCAGAAATGAGAAAGGATGCAGCAAGGATGATACCTCCCTCATACTGCGGATAGGTTTTGTGCCACTGTGGTATTTGAAAAAAAAACTGCGTTCGAAGTAAACTTCAGAAATCGCTTTACTTCTAAGCTGGTTTTCACAATATCAGATTAAGAAAGGCTTTTTAATGGTCGGCGGCGAACACTGTTCAAATGATGCGATTTAATTACGAAGACGATTTTGCATGAAACCGACATGATCATGATTACCGGATGAAAAGCAGAGGAGAAGAAACCGGCACACCCTTCCGCTGTAATGGCAGTTCATCGATCCCGTCTGGAAGGCTAATGTCGAAAAAGTCCCAGGGGCAGTTCGACATGCACTGAGCACATGCGGGTGTGGGTTTATGCATGCTCATTTGTTCAAATAGTCTGAAAAAAACTGAGGAACAACTTACCATTAGGGTTTACAACGCCATTGGGTCCCAACACACACTCGCGTTGGGCGACGTACGAAGATGGGTCTGCACAGATGTGATTAGGGATGGAGCATGAAATAAGAAAAGGAGAGCGACTGAGTGTCTAGTGGAGATTCGGCTATGCGTCTAATGAATTTCAATCTGTCGAAAGAAAAAAATACGCCTGTCTGCTAGAAATCACTAAACATTGCCCCGTGCACTATCAACCACCTGCTACCACTAAGTTAGGGCTTAAGATTAACTCGAGATCCCATTCAGCTACACAAGGGACTAAAATCCTCGTGTCTTGTGTGTCCGGGCTCACTAATATACGAACCAGCCAAAACGGTTTTGTTTAAACACTGGACAGCAAAATGAAACCGGTTAAATGAAGGAACGTGTTCTTGACCAACCTGTTATACAAAAAGCAGCAAGTATCTTAAAAGTAAAGTAAAAAGGATAATTATAAACATTCTGTGCTCCATAGGAGAGTTACAAGTCTAGGCTGGCGTGTCCAGTCGAAGGCAGACTGACAAGGATCAAAGGGGTGGATATGAAATACCGAAGGTGAACGATTAAGAAGAATCACTGTATTCATATTGTGTAACTATTTAATGCGTGAGTATCGTACGGTGGGACGAACTGCGATCGTGCGGCTGAGTGTACATCACACCAACACTATAAAATCGGCGTATGTCAAGTGATTCATTTCCTATGTGTAGACTTCTCCAGCCCCTAAACAAGTAACCTGGTGGAATTTTGCGACCTGTATCTCTTACTAAACCCCATCAGTCCTATTGTCTGGGCCAACCACTTCAATCCTCGAAGATAACGTGCGTCGATCGATGCAAGCACTGCCCCGGCGTGCTTACGTTCATATCTCCAACATTCAGCACCTAATTTCTGTACGATTACACAAACCCTTCGTATGAATTCGGATGGCCGGAAGTTGTTATCGATTAGGGTGATGCGAGCGTGACAAAAGAAATGACCACACTGACTGTTATCTGTAGGGAAGGTTACGTGACAGGAAGGCTCGTTGGCATTCTGGGACTCGATCAGAATAGATACGCGCCGATATTTCACAACCGAAAGAAAATAAGCGTCTAAAATCTAAAGTTGGACGAGTGATAGTTTCCACCTAATACGCTTCCAACAACCAATACGTCCAACAGCAAAATACTTCACACAGAATAAACTCGAACCATCTAATCTGTTAGCCAGACGATAAGTTTTGAACACTACACTTCGGAAAAAGCACCGCGCATTTGCTCTAAAAATCATAAGAATGTCTCTTCCATGTCTGTAAGATGGAACATCCGGAATTATGCTGAAATTCACGAGCTGAGATGAGGAACCGAGATCAAAACAGAATGTAATCTGGTGGTGGTACATTGCATGCAGGTGGCAGAGTTTATCTGATAAAGAAGAAGGGAATTCCCACTAAAGAACTTTCACAATCACAGGAGGAACGGAAGTCACCTCGGAGATGAGCGTACCACTTTATGGGGAAAGTACTGTTGATTCGGTTTACCCTGTGTTCGAATCACTGGACATTTACCCCAAATCCATTTGTCCGTTTGCCCACCAACCACCTGTTACAGGTGACACATGAATAGTCACGATGTCTGTATTGATGGTGCAAGACACTTATCACTACATTTTAGGCTAACTAGTGAAATACTACATGGATGAAATGAAGATATGTTGCGAAAATACCCATTTACAACTTGTTTGTGTCCCTACAATCTTCATGGGGTCACACATGTTGCACTGCATGGAGGTCAGGTGAGCTTTCACGCTTAAACACATACGGAGTCAAAATATCCACATAGTGGAACGCTCATAAAAATCCATTCTATACAGCGCATGCCCGCCGATACGTCAGGTGACAAAATAGAAACAGCTGATTCACGGTCAATTGGCACGATGGAAAAGTGTAAACTGTTGCAAATTCAGGACTAGATTGAAATGAAATGAGGATGTACCGTCCGAAATGTTGCGTGAATGGACCTTGGTGAGCTTTCAGTTTGTTCATCTAAAAAAGGGCTTCCACATAGGGTCTCCGTCCTATATGAATGTGACGTCCGGCAGATCTAGCTTATGTGGCATCAAGACCATTATCGCAAAACCACACTCCCCTTATTTATTCTGCAATTACGATGAATGTTAGTAGCTCAGGTACCGTGGGTGGTCACTGACTTGTTCGCCGAGCCGTTTGATTGTAAACGTTTTGTCACCAATCGAGGTGAAATCAACAATACACTGTACGGGGAGCGGAGTCAAGCGTAGCAGTGTCATTCATGCCACAACCGCTACTGTGAAACCGTTAGAAATTCTAAACGGGTTATCTTCGTTATTTTCCGCTCAATTTTCAAGGTTGGAAACAAATCTCACTTTCTTAATAAAAAGCTTCCTGTTGTCTTTCTGATGTGCTCATCCAACTCCACCGAGATGAACAGGATGAGGTGAACACACGGGCTAATCGTGCACCGGCATACTTACGTTTCTTCCTGACCTCTGTATAGTGAAGTGTCCAAAGAATCTCACCTGATTTGATCGACAGTGAATGTGTACAACCGCTCATACCGTTGGTCCATGCTTAGCAAAAAGTTTGAAAACCGCACAGACACACCTCCCTAGGGGAGATCGGATAAACAAAGAGATATTACGTCCCGACAGCGAAAAGGTGTTCGTAAGTTATGGTTAGGGCTAGCAATGTTATGAGTCGTGTATCACGTCTATACATGTATCGCGACATCTCGAATATCGTATCAAGTGAAACACGAGGTGGCCTGGTACAGCACACTCAGTTTCTTAAGAACATTATATATATATATATATATATATGTCGAAATCGGTCAAATTTGGATTCAAGTAGGACATAAGGTTGACAGAAACTCGGAGACTACGCCTAAGTGATGAGCCCCAAGAAGGGCAAAACCAGTCGTGGGCTGTCGAAGAGTTTCAGCAACCTTATGAGTAGTGTATCACGTCTGAAACAAACCTTCCTACATGTGATGGCTTTGATACGTGGGGATCAAGACTGCTTGTCAGTAAAAGACAGGTTAAGTGGGATGAACGACTAGGTATTGGAAATTCAAGCAGATCTTAGAAAAAGACCGAGGGCGGGAAAATCAAAAACAGATAGGGAAGAATATGTGTAGGCGCTCATTCCACCCTCAAAAGCAAAGAGAGCATAGGTGGGAAATGTTATGTTACCAGTCCCCGAGACTTCTATGCCACTGAGGAATAAAATAGATGAGATGGAGGAGAGGGGTTGGTGGACTGAGTTGATTTTGGCGTTCAATCACGGATGTGACACAGTGAGTCTTTTGAGTTGCTCATGAGAGCAGAACGCAGCAGCCTTGTAGGTTGCATTTTCATGGTGACTGAAAAACCGGCATCCCAACTCAGGAGCTTGGAGTGGCGAACCGCATGAGGCTGGCGGCAGTGCCTCCCTAGGATATAACATGAACGGTCTACGATTTATGGCTCAGTTTAGACCAGCAACTCCGTGGTTTTTGTTCACTAGTATAATGAGTTTATTTCGCTTGTGAAAATATGCTAGACAGAACTTATCTTATCTTCGTGATCAATAGTTACCCAGATAGTCTCGTACTTTTTTCGTAGGTCATGACCCAAGCCGCAATGAGTGAAAAAGTGACATTTTACTTTCTGCCCTTCGAGGTCCCTGGTGAGTTCTAGCCCAACACTCCCCTGGCACCATCACGCACGCCTCGGGTGTACATTCAAATGTTCCAGACATAACTAGCACTTGCGTCACGCGCAATCCAAGCTGTTATCCCACATCTATGAGGCTTGTCGAGTAGTCGGAAGAGACAGTAAACCTTGAAAACAACCACCCGCCATGACTTAGACCCTAAATTTGCCCCAAACATCTCGATTTGCAGCAAATTTCCCTTGTTTGAACTGTTTTGCTCTTGTGTTGCGGCTGTACGAGCAACGCGAAAGTCAAGCGGAAAATCGATCTAACCTTCCGTATCCCAAGAACTCTCAGGCGATGCGTTTATTGTTTGTACACTCCAGCAAGCGTCAACACTCCCACATATGCGTGGTGTGTCCTACCAAGTGGATCCTGTTATGCTGGGCGTCTTCCTTCAAGGTTCGACATATCAAGCAGGACAGTTCGAATGTCAGTCTGATGTCCCTCAAGCGTGAGACTATAAACTGTACGGTGAAAACGCACGGGTATGAGGCCATAAAACAAATTAGGGTGGCCACGTGGACGCCACTTCCCATGAGTCAAACTTGACCAGAAGCGCCATGAATTATGTTGGTTTTCGTATAGTTTACGGTCACTCAGCTCGTACTACTCTAGTTTTTCCCAGTGATTTCAACAATCGTCGAGCATATCATGGAATACCATACAAACAGGAAAACGATAAACGTCATTTCAGTCATATGAATCGTCAGACTTGTTAAAAATGATTTCAACACCGATTAACGACAGGGCAGAAAAAGCCTTCACCGTCTGCCACGAGCTCCAAACATCTTTACATCACACGACTGGAGTAAACATAACGCATGCGGAAGACATGGATACCAACACTTGTGTAAACTCAACAGTTTTGCGGGAATCGGTCGAATTGTGCTCACAGAAACCGCGTTTCCACGACGCTGGCAGTGTGGTTACGAAATTCAACCAGACGGACTAGTCCGGCACTGTTCGAACAGTTCATCCACACTGACCAGCACGTAATGTTGACAGTAGTGTGTGCACCTCACTATTATAGGCATAGACCAGAATGGACGAACCCGCAGTTACTACGGCGTCACCCAATATTGCTATTGTTGACATGACACATGTTGGTTGGACTTTTGGTGTTTGGTTTGCAAACCTGCGCTTTACAAATGTGGAGTGAAAAAAACAAAGGGAGCAGTGTGCTGGCAGACTGTCACTGCGCCAACTGCCTGTAACGTGTGTTGCACCGGATTCCAGCCACCATCACCAGTGTAAATAGACACAAAGGTCAAGGACAAGAGGATGTACCAGCTAGTTGATTGCCTGTGCGCTGTGAATGGATACATCCGATCGAACCGTTTGACCGGTCCACAGTCCAAAGAAACAATTTCTTAAACAATACAAATAGCAAATTCACGTCACAACAACATCTGACTTACAAGTGGAATAGGGTATTTATTGGTGCGGAACCTACCTAACACGCGGACGGCAATCTCGGCAGAATTGCGCCCATATCCGTCCACCGCCTGACAAACATAAAGACCAGAGTTCTCTAACGTGGCTGCACGAATATAAAACCATTGTTTTTCCGACAGAACAATGGTCGGTTGATCTGAATGGATCCACGAATAGAAAGGAACATCGTAAGGGCAAGTCAAATTCAGGCTCTGTCCCACGCGTATTAAATAGCCACGGCGTAGAGGGGCTCGAGGTACAATGGAATCTGGAGGTGGGTCTACAAGAGAAACGGTAGAGAACGGAATCGGTAAAAATAGGCAAGAATTTCACAAGATGTGAAATAATGGACAGAGTTATTAATCTACACTGATAAAAAAATAATCCAATCAACTTCACTCACTGGACTGCGTGTCATCGTGAGGTCGTGGGAAGTGGAAAACCTGACACCGGCAACTGCCCAACAGGCTGTGATACTAGGAGAAAAATACGGAAGGGCTGACATGTCCGTTTCTATTAGAGAGTTCCCAGAATTAACCAGCCTGATTCACAGAACAGTGTCGGAGAAAAACTGGCTGTGTCTAGGCTGGTTGATAGGCAGTCACGGAGTCTAGATAGAAAGTAAACATCTGCTCCGTTCCAGCCCACCAGACGAAAAACGTGCTTGGTAGCACGAACCACAAAGGATCTAGCCTAAAACCACCTAGAGTCACGCAAACTCATTCACTGTAGGTCAGGAGTGACATCGCCAACCGCAGTGTAGTTCGAAATAGTTGTTTAGACAGGATAATCCCAATAAAAAAATAACATCAAGGGGTTGGAAGTGGATAAAATTGGACCTTAGCCAAACCCATCCCACAGGACTTCGTACGAACTCGAGGTGATTCAGCCATGCCATCCATCCAGGCCGTAACGTAGATGAGTGTTTGACGGGTTCATGTCAGTACTGACAAAGTCGCTCATTCGTTAGTCTGATAAAAAGCATTCAAGTGACAAACTTCGTATTGCAGTGCAGCTGTATGACAGTCTATGTGTAGGGTTGTGAGTAGGGGAGAGAGAGATATATAGAAGGACCAGGAGCTACATCAGTCGACTGACAGTTCTCGCTAGGTGACGATAAACAACAGGAAACCGTACGTAGTAGTGCGTGTGCCTCCGATGACAGCTGGCCGAGACATTGGATGTACACAAACAAGTGATGGCAAGCATATGTCTATCTGGTCAGCGTAATCTAGGAATGGAGTTCACGTGCACATCATCGCGACCCTTCACACCTGCTACACAATAATGATGAAATAAAATATGAACATTGGTAGGCGCGCTACTGCTCCAGTTGCAAAACCGCTTCCACAGTTCGTGTGCGTGAAGAGCTATCATCCATTTAGAGGAATAAGAGTTCATCTATGTTGGTCTACTTCACGGTCATGCATAATCGCATTTCAAAACGGTTCAGTTATATCGAAAACTTACTGTTTTCACTACCTTTTTTAGTTACTGGTAACTATTAATTCGTACTACTTCAGTGCTCAAGCTGAGAAGAGTATTATCTCTTCACAACCCAGGGAACAGTTGAGAGATCAAGTCCTCAGTCCCGGAAGACAACTATCGATGATAAAAGACACTGGTCGAGGGCTCCTAATCAATAGGGTGTACATGTGGGTCTATTCAAAAGAGATAGCTTTACTTTCTATTGTAATTGTAAAACCTCGCGTCACAGAGAAGATCATTGCTCGATTATATCATTCTTCTGCCAATGTGCCGTCCTATTATCTGCACCGTGCATTTCTCAGAAGTGAACACAATTGGAACAGTTCACATCTTACAAGCAGTTCGATGCGAAAGTGTGGTTTTTATCTAGCGAAATAAAAAAATCCTATTGTTATTGGATGGATTGGTTTATATAGGCGCTTACTTGCGAAGTTATACCGTGTAAATAACTAGTTGGGAGAAAGAAATTTCCTAATTGGGACGAAACTGTCGATAACCAGAAACAGCACAGTGCAATACAGGGAACCACTGATTGAAAACTGCACTGACTTCGTCAGTTTTATCGCCTGACCATTACGCTATGGTTGATTGCCGAAGAGACTTTAGCCAAGTTGGGTATGTGTCCTTAAATTACCAGCTCAAGACCAGATCACATAGGCAGCCACGGTCAAATGCGTAGGAGCAAGTGATGCTAGGATAGGTATTGTGAAGACCGAAAGACAACGACTCGAGAATGTGTGCACGTGGAGATCACGATCTGCTAGGTAAACAAACAGCACCAAGGAAAAATGCAAGCGAATTAGCCCAATGTAAATGTAGCAGCCTCCAGTCGTAAGCCACACTTCATTAATTGATTTATCGACTTATCCATTGATCTGGTATTGTTTACTTGTTGCAGAGTTTCTGGTTAATTTACGCAAACAAAGAAGCAAACACTTCCACTATCTCCATGAATGGATCACTCATCAGGAGAAAATCAGCTCCTTCGGGATTGCACTACCTTATGCAAAATGTGGAGACCACAGAATGATACTATTTGTAGTATAGTTAATATCACTATGTGAGTGAGTGCAAAAAGCCGAGACTGTTAGAAGTGACGTGATCGGAACTACTGACGTGTTACGAAACCATATGGAATTGTACAGCATGTGAGGAACAAGGCTGTTCCACAACCCACAACACAAGAAGTACAATAGATACCGGTTTGTAAAACAACAAAGTGTGATGCACACTTGTGACTATCGCGACCACCAGACACCGAAAAGTCGAAAAAAGTATGAAGTTCAAACGACGTCAAGATGAACCAGACCGTCCACTTCAGTGTTCGAGAGAAGCCGCAAAAAATGCTCTAGATAATATGCCAAAGGTTGTAGTCAACCGGTCAATACTCAATCTCGGTTTGAAAAGCGCCAGTCGCTGAGTCAGTTCTACATGCGCTGAAAGATAGTCAGAGGTTACAGCTGAGGCCATTGTGTCATTGTCAAAAGCGAAAGATAACAGGCCTGCTTGATTCCAAAAGTAACATAATCTAATTCAACTTAGTTTATGTGGATTCCGGTAAATAACAATTGGGCTATTTCCTTGAATTTAAGAACAAGACGGGACGGGACCCATCTTGCTGCATTGCAGTTTTCAGTAGGCATGTTTAGTGAATAAAAGGACGGATTTCAATCCTAGTTGATGGAATTTCCATCACGTTAAAACACCGGTTGGGAGCGATTGAGTAGTCATCGCCTCAAAGAGGTTTCGTAAACAACAGATCCAAACCTTTTCGAAACAAAGACCAGTTCCTGGAAACATTACAAACGAGAGATTCAGCTGGGATCCAGGTGAGTCTCTCGCAAAAACCAAATTAGTTTGCAAATGAGCGTATTTCGCTAAGACCAGCTCCAGTTCTCGGGTTAGTTAGCTGAAAGGGGAATTACGATAACAATGTGCTATTATTTAAAAATAGAAATAGGGGGACCTAAGCTGTGGCACTTGTGGGATAGTGGTTGCTTAACGCTAAGGGTTCACGAGACTGAGATCCTAGCAGAATGTTAAAGCACATATGGAACACCTATGAAATGATGAAAAAGGCGGGGGGTTGCTCAAACCAAGAGCCTCTCGATCTAAAAAAATGATTGTGACAATTTGAGCGTCCAAAACCTTCCACTGTTTCAAAAAGCACGCAGTGTATCACCTATGGTCGGAGACCTTCAAACCAAATACTGCCATAGTTACCATGCTCTAGAGAGAACCGATTTATTCGCCCTTATTTTCATGAAATCCCGTCGAAACTCAGAAATATTTGCCCATGTGTATTTTCCTCTGCGTCATCTTCTAGACCGTACCTTTAAGAGTTCACCGATTAGGGAGGAAGTCGGCGGTGAGGACAATTTTCCTGGCGTGATAATATGGTGATGTTGAAGATCCGTGGCCATTTCTAAAGATTCTACCTGTATTTGCTTTTGGTTAACTAAAAGAAATACTTCAACAAAGAACTCAACCACATCTAAGTGTAGGGTCACTAAGAACCGCATCCGGTTCACCTGAACAGTCGAATGAACGTTACGCATTTGTTCTGTTGACCATACCCCATTCCGTGGTAAGCTGCGAGTGGCAAAGTTCTTAATCTGAAGACTCGACTGATTGACACGTTTCAGGAGTTAGTGACTGCTTGGGAAATATTGTAATCTTATGTACGAGAGCATGTGGGGGAAGTTAGCAGTCCTTGCTTTTGCCCGGGAAAGCGAAACCGTTTGCTATTTGAAACCCTTGGTTTCTAAGGACTGAATACCTGAATACCTGAATAATTTTAACTGGTAGCCTAACTTCATTCACAATATATGGTATCGTACTTTTTATTAAAAAATATTTCATCCTGTTTTACATCATCATATTGTAGTTAATATGCATCCCATGGTTGGCACTAATAATCTGGACGTGCCGAAATGTTAGGATGTTATAAGATGTCATAAGCGCAGGCCTTGAGTGTGTTTTATGAGCGGTTCGGGCTACCCGGTTGCCCTCTGGGTCCCAAGTATTTAGGTGTTGAGCATGCTCACGTTCGCTCCTGTTCGACCCCCGGGTACAGGATGCCAAATCGCATGTTGCAATGCTACTGTAGAAGCCCACAGGCGTAGTTCGATATGAAAAAAGGTAAAACAAGAGACAGATGGTGGTCCACAATATATGAGAATGTACTCCCCCCCCCCCCCCCGCCTTGCTTGTTATTAAACATCTCATCGTCACGAACGTCACTGAGACCCGTATTCTATATAGGTTGAACTGTAAACTGAATATAATCCAAAGAAAACCGCAGTCCTTCTCAGATTGCTCACATACGTTAGTGATAACCCTGGATGATGTTTCACTGTGAGACAGGATTAAATGCTGGGAATCCCGCTGTCACTTTTGATGTCAAAAACGTATATTAAATTTAAAATATTAACAAACCATTTTGAAGTGCGTATCTCATTCAATGGCAGATATAAGCTCAAAACGAGACATATCGATTAATATAGTCAGACAGTCTGGGTCAAAGACAGCTGAATGAAAGTGTCTGAACTGTTTGCATTAGTTAAAAACCAACACCATTAAATTACAAAAACATAGTCCATATGAAGTGGCCTATATGATCCTGAACGATAGATGGAATGAAACCATCAGCTCTGTTGATACAAAAGTCGAGCCTTGTTAAATCCTTTGGCGATATATTGAGCAATCGTTCCCGCCGGTCCCCTAGAGGAACATAATATTGAATGAGATGATTGGTTTTTGCTTGTACATGTGCCGAGGATCATTGGGGATCTGACCACTTGTGGATGGTCAGATGAGTGCTTCCAGCATTTCACGGAGGACACATAGTGGTTACTAAGCCCCAGGTTTGCCGGCTTTCAAGTGAGAATCATAAGAAAGAAATAATCTGTACTGGAAAAACAACCCACTAGACCTTTCGTCCCGAAGGGGAGTCATTTGGTGGATGCCAAGATTCAACGTTCGCATTCCTATCTTCGATGTCATATGGCCAACAACCACACTCAAAGAGAACGGCTAGATAAGTATCGGGGTATTGAAAAACTGAGAGCAATCATCTATTCCCAAGCAGTCAGAATTCCAACGAATCTTGACGAATGAGCTCAATCCATTAACACCACATATGCTATGCGCAAAGTGAAGCCGGTGGCTGCCTCGTATTCAAAGTCTGAACCTGAATGTCAGGCAATCGATCCACTTGATTCACTCCAGTCAGGACGAAAGGTGTAGTACGCCCTCTTTTCAAGACGAACTACGTACACCCTCCTAGAACACTGGATAACCGTTTTTACGAGCTTGAGAAATGTCGAAAATGAAGCCCTTGATGCCTTTATTCATACTCATGAAGGAAACCAAGTTTACATTCTACTGGCAATTGAAAAATGTAGGGTGAACAATGAATTTTCGAAGCTGTGACCATATTGGTAGGTGGCCGTAAGTGTGCGACCCAGAAACTTGTGTGAAGACCCACAGTTGATAAGTATGGATCCATACCTTACCGAGCCACTGGTGTGATTACTACTAAGAGGTCAACAGTGCGGTAGGTCTCATACTAGCAACGACAGCATATGGAGTAGGAAGTATTAGCAAACGAAGAATGAAACTACAGACCCATGCAGTTCCAACGGACAGATAAATCGCCGAACCGAGAGCAGAACAAATGCAGCATAGAGATGTAGTAACGAAACATATGTTGGTCTTGTGCAGATGTGTGTGTGCGTGGTTGCACTGGCATGAGTCTAGATGTACAGAGGGTTGACAACCGGAACAGCACATGCTTGTGACAAACAGGAAACAGGATTGGGGAGATGAGGATATCAGAAGTTGGGGTGACATGTAGCGATTCCCGACATCTGTTGGAAGAGACGAGTATCGAACGCGACAAACCGGAGCTAAAGAAATATGCCCGATCGGTGGATGAACAGAAATCTAGAAATACCTATGAAGCAACTTTGCCAAATAGTGTTGAAAATGGAATGATATTGAAGCTCAACAATCCTCATTTGGGTGATCATTTTATCAATCAGTGTTGAAAATGAAAACGTATTGGGGTAAGTTGTTTCTGTTCTATGAGGTTTAAACTCGATTTACTGGTCTGGGTATAAGTCCGAGTCCGTCAATCAAACAAAGCAGACCAATGTGGTCGGACATAGCTAGTCAGTCTGTAAAGTCGCTGCATAGTAATG